ATTGTGTAGATCACCGGAAATTTTTCGGAAAATAAACTTGCCCCTTGATTTTTAGGACATGTCACACGACTAATACGGACATTTTTTATCTGTCCCGCGAGTGTCCTTATAACGGGGGTGACCTGTATAAAAACATTACCAAATGCATCATAAGCTGTTTTTGTCTATCGTATCCCTGGCTTAGCCAGGCAGTTATTATTATTTCTATTGTTATCAGTTGTGCTATTATCACTAATATTAGTAGTGCAATTACCACCAGTAAGTATTATTGTTTCTGTTATTATTAGTGTTATTATTATTACTGATAATAGTGTTTTTATCTCTGTCTGTTTTATGACTTAATTTATAAAATAATACAAATAACTTATAAATAAAGAGACTATTTCTTCCAATTCCTTTATTTGAACTTTTGATTGAGCCAAGAGGTTATTAACTCGGTAGTTTATTTTGACAGACAATGTAAAAAACTGATAAAATTTATTATAATTGATCATTATCAAATTGTATAATAAACGTACAATGTATATGGAAGTTAAAACGTACCTTTATAATTTTTATAACTTGAATTAAACACTATTTAAAATTTTATTACTTATAAGGAAAGAGTACCTCAGCGAAAAACAAAAATGGTAATTTATAAAAATGTTAGTAAAGAATTTTCTTCTAAATCACGCTGAAGTTCATGGAGTGCCAAATCCAGGAAGAAATATCAATTGAATAATCCGATCACTTGTATATTCTTAAAGCTTATCAGTACTTTCTTGCTGGTCCAGAAGATGATGATGTTGAAGCACAATGCGTTCCGCAAATTATGACATCGATTTAGCTTAAATAATAACAGATATTTGTGTGATGTCTTCGCAATGACTTGCATAAAGAAGAAGAGGCCAAAGACCTACCAAAAAGATACAAAGAGCATCTGGCCAAAGCAACAACAATATCAAATTGGTTGAAGAAGTAGAGTTGCTGATCAAATTATTTGATAAAGTTGATGCTATTGTCATGATTGAGTACAAATGTCCACATACTGCATTCTGATCACAGGTAAGTAGGTCTATTATCTATTTGGTATTCGGTACAAGAACAAATTAATTATGTTCTTCATAACATGAAAGTGTCCTAATGGCACACTATATAAAACCATTAATATCATTATATTAGTAGTACAACTGTGATGATTAAAAAATTTTGTTTTAACTATTAATAAACTTTTTTGAAGTTTCTTTTACAATTATAGTGCAGGACACCTAGTCCCACAACTTTTTATTGGTCTTGTATATCCTTTAGTATACCAGAAATGGAAATGT